CCTGGTGTCTTTCCCGTGGGACACATCCTGAGGTGCTGTCCCAAGGATGTTTTTCCCAATTGTCCAATGAGCTCCTGTCCTGTCCTAGCTGCACTAACACACTTTAAACACGGGCTGTCCGTACAATAAATTGGCCTTTTTTCCCAAAAGAGCTCCGTGTGTGTTGCTGTCCTTTCCCTCTCTTTGCAGCGCAGTAACCACATTTTCCTGTTCTCTCCGCGAGGCAAGAGTGAGATGGGGCCAGAAACAGCACCCGTGCCCAAACCCAACTTCCCAGGGGTTCCGCCCACCCGCCTGTAATTTAATTGAAGTTTCTCCACAGCAGCTCCCCGGCTGCTCGTTTATCCCAGGGGAGGCCGCGCTCCGCCGGGGCCGCCCTATGACCCCCGCCCGGCCCCTCAGGTGGCGGAGCCCCCGGCCCGGCCCGGCCTGTCCCGGCCCCGCCGCTCACCGGCCCGCGCCCGCTGCTCCGCCCGCTGCCCGCCGCCGCTGCCGCCGAGTAGCGCCAGGCCGCCGCCTCCCGCCCATCCCCGGCAGCCCGGCCGGCGCTGCAGCCGCAGTCCCCGCTGCCGGGGGTCCCGGCGGCCGCCGCCATTCCCATTCCTAGCAGCAGCGGGAAGAGGCAGCGGCGCAGCCGAGTGGGCGCCGCCATCTTGGCGGCGGGGCCACGTGCCGCGCGCGTCACGTGACCGAGCGTGTCTTAAAGGGGCCGCGCCGCGCCCTGAGCGGATCGTGAGGGGCGGGACCGGGGCTGTCCCCTCGTGTCCCCTCCCTGTCCCCTGTGTCCCCTCCCTGTCCTTCCTTGTTCCCTCCTTGTCCCCTCGCCTGTCTCCCTGTTCCCTGTGTTTCCTCCCTGTCCACACCGGTACCTGCCGAGCTTTTGCGGATGATGAGGAGAGACTCTTCAGGGCCTCTCTTCTCCAGAGAAGATTGCGAGGGTAACTCAGCAATCCACAGAAATATCTCAAATACCCACGGGAGTCTCACCGGTCCGTATAAACATCCCAAATATCCATACAATATCTCCTAAGGGGTGCCAAGAGCCACGTTCCAGACCCTTTCCAGGAAAAGTGCTTTGGTTTTCCCCCTCTACATCAGGGAACTCGCAGTTCCTGTGTTCTCTTTCATTTTTCCCGCAGTTCACTGTAGCTGTTGAATATTCTGTAAAACCTTTACTTTCTTGTGGGAGCTTTTGTTCAGAGCTGTCAACGGAATGGATCTTCTGCATCATCCCCTATGCCGAAATAAATCTTGACTCATCTTGCGGTATATTAATTCAAAATACTCCATATAATTTTTGCTTATACTTGCAGCAAAGACAAGCATGGCAAGAGTTGAAGGAGGTATTTTATTGTTTGAATGCTGAAAGGAGCTACACTCCAATGTGTTTGCTCTGTGAAATTTCACTGTGTGTAAAATGGCAGTGCTGGGAGGCCTCGCAGGGATGAATTCCAATTATCCATCATTAATCCCTTCTGCCCTGTGACATGCTCCAGAAAAGCATCAGAGTGCAGGAAAACAAATGAGTGCAAACTTAATTATACACCCAACCCTTGCTGCTTTGGGGTCAGAAAATGGAAATATTCCTTTTGCGTTGACACAATGATCTTTGCCCTTTGTTAAGGAATGAATGTCTGTGAAAATGAGAATTAAATCCAACTTATTTTTTCCTCCTAAATTTTTCCCAACACAATCCAGTGAAGCGAGAGCAAAATGTAGGCACGCAAATTCTACAGACTTCTAGAACTGAACACAGTCTGCCAGCATAGCCTCCCCTTATGAAAGCCATGGGATTGTGCCTGTGTGGTGATGGAATTCAGGAAAATCAGCTGATTTCCAATGAGCTGGGACAGCTCTCTAGTGTATCCTGCCCACTCGTTCTCATGGCTCGTTTTCCTGGAATTCTTGTGTGCATCATTTGTGTAGTTCCATCAGGAGGGTTCATATTCCTTCCTCTCCCTGGAGAACAGATGAAATAATTACAGTTTGCTTCTAAACAACATCCAGCTTCCAGGCTGAGATCCTGAGGACTTTGGAGAACTTTTGCTGGTGTGGATCATTTTGTGCTCAGCCATGAAGCCTTTAGTTTTCCCTCACAGTGAGTCCCCATGCTTCTGATCTTGCTGTTATTAAAATGTGATGGGAATGAGAGATTTCCCAGCACTTCTCTGAGAGGCTGAGGTGTTCTAGCGTTTGTCAGGTGTGCTTTTCACCCCTGAGTGCATGGATCTCCCTAAGGACAGGGAACTTCTGGGATCATCTTCCCCATTGTGAAGACCAGCCATGAGTAAGAGGAGACAGACTGATCCTCAGAGTCCTGGAATATCTTCTGCTCTCATTTTTCTTCCAGGGCTGTTGAGCTGCAGCTGAGCCAAGAGCAGAGACAAAACCTGTGCAAAGCCACCCCACAGGCTGGAGGTGCAATGTTTCCAAAACAGCCCAGGGAAGCCAATGGTTGGTTGCAAATTTGTCAGCATAAAACAAGACAATAGAAATAAAAAGCAAATAAAAGACTTCAAACTTCATTTTAACATCTTTCATCAGTGCTGAATTTCCACGATTGCTAAAAATAAAGTAGGAGTGGAGCAGAAAAATATTTGAAAAGGAGAAAAAAAGAACAAAGTACTTCAATAGCAAAAAAATAAAAATCCCTCTCAAGTTGTTTTCCTGTGACCTGTGACTGAAACCACATGTGAAATTGGGCCAAACATTCATAGTACAGCTCCCAGGGCTGAAGTGATACCTACCAAGTCATGTTTTTTCACTATTTCCTCTCTGAATTCTTGAGCTCATTCCCTCGACCCTCTGGGGGTGTGTGGGCTCCAAGCCCAGCCCTCATTTGCTACTGAGTGAACAGGACTCTGTTCCCATCTCAGGGCTGCCTCCTGTAGTTCCCATTGTCAGGGAAAATTCCTTTAAGGGAATAGCTCTGGTCCTTCCCAAGGTGACGTTTTCCTCTCCCACACTGCCCTACAATTTTACCTCTTTTCAATGCTGGAAGGTTATAGAAACCCCATGAACTCACTGTGCCTGCAACAACATCCCAGAGCAAGTTCTTAAAACAAAAATAGAAACATTTTCCCCCATTGGAAATGTTCATTATTATCTTGTCTTTGCCAGCACCCCTTCAAATCTAGCAAGTTCTTCACAGAGCTTGGTCAGTATTTTTGGCTGAAGGCCCAAAAATTGCTGAGGAGGCATCAGTAGCAAGTGCATGGAATGCCAGGACTAGGGGGAATGGATTCCAGCTGACAGAGAATAGCTTTAGATGGGATATTGGGAAGAAATTGTTCCCTGTGAGAGTGGGGAGGCCCTGGCACAGGGTGGGCAGAGAGAGCAGCTGTGGCTGCCCCATTCCTGAAAGTGTCCAAGACCAGGTTGGACAGGGCTTGGAGCAACTCAAACCATTCTGGGCTTCTATGAGCTCCTGAGCTTTGAAGAACTGACCAAGACCCAGAATCAAACATAGTCCATAAGAGAAAATGCAGCCTTTGTTGTTTGGTATTTGGGAGAGGAATGTCTCCAGAGGGGCAGACTCCATTCCCTCCCTGTTCCCGTGCTGGATTTATCCCCAGTGCTGGAGCTATTTCAAGGCACACTGTTTGCAGAGCTGCTCAAGGTGCTCAGCAGGCAAAGCTCTGCCCCTGGCTCTGGTGACAGCCCTTCTGTCACTGCCTGGGAGCTGCTGCAGCCACTCACAGCCTCTGCCTGCTGAACCCATCCAGAGATTAGATTTGATTACACAAGAATTCATTAGGATTATCTAATGATATTAGGCACCACTACTCTGCCAAATTCCTGATGAGTAATGGCTTGTAGTATTGCAGCCATGTAGGAAACCCATAAAACTCTGTTCTCTGACCTTCGCTTCAGTTCCTGAGTCACGGGCTTCAGCTTCTGCATATCCTTGCTCCAGAGCCACAACTCCAACTCCTCTGGAGCTATTTTTAATGAAGATCTAGTACAGGGGGAGGTTATGTTGATTAAAAACTGGCTGATCTGGGCTTGTTCCCATTCATCAGCGTTATGCTACTGCTGTAGAGAGGGAAACAAGCAAGGAGCCGGGCACCATTGCTACCTGTTACCCACGGCAGCAGGTGGGTGTGGGTGAGAGTGAGCGGAGGAAAATGTTTCCTTCACCTAAATCGCAGTTAAAGCGATACAGTTGTTCTGCAGGCAAACATTGTACCCACCCCTGCACAGCTCTGGGTGCTGCCAGCCAGGCACAGAGGGCAGGAAAATCAGGGCGTAACGGTAAGAAATAATCTTCGCTAATATTTAAGGACAAATAATTGCATAGTACAGTAAATAAATGAAATATTACTATTTTTTTTATTTGCTGCTGGTCATTCTGACTGATGTGATGTCTCGTTAGTTGATACCCCCGTGCCGTGATTTTAGTGAAGAGGAATCCCAGAGACACTCGCTATTCCCAGAGTTTGGAGCCGTTTCCTGCAGAACAGCAGTGACTCTGCTCAGCCAAGGGCTCGCACCTGAGACAGAGCAGAGGTGACAGCACCTGTGCAGGCAGGTGCCCTCCCGGCTATTCTGCGCTCCCCAAGTCGCGCTGACAACTGGTTTACTCAGTGTTTACTCAGCGTTTACTCTCCCTGGCCGGCTTCACCGCAGCCTCTGTGTCCGGTACCCCCGCACGCTCCGGGGCTCTGTGCGGAGCGCCCCGAAACAAAACACATCCGCGTCCCCAGCCGGGGGCTGTTCACCCCCACCACTGGCCGCACGGACCGGGGGGTCCATCCCCATCACTGACCGCACTAACCCGGGGGTCCATTCCCATCACTGGCCGCACGGACCGGAGGGGTCCATCCCCATCACTGACCGCACGGACCGGGGGGTCCATCCCCACCACTGACCGCACAAACCCGGGGGTCCATTCCCATCACTGACCGCACGGACCGGGGGGGTCCATCCCCATCACTGACCGCACTAACCCGGGGGTCCATCCCCATCACTGACCGCACTAACCCGGGGGGGTCCATCCCCACCACAGACCGCACGGACCGGGGGGGTCCATTCCCACCACTGACCGCACGGACCCGGGGGTCCATTCCCATCACTGACCGCACTAACCCGGGGGTCCATCCCCATCACTGACCGCACTAACCCGGGGGGTCCATCCCCACCACTGACCGCACAAACCCGGGGGGTCCATCCCCATCAATGACCGCACGGACCTGGGGGGGTCCATCCCCACCACAGACCGCACTAACCCGGAGGGTCTCCGCTGCCCCCCGCCCGGAGCGTGACGCGGGGCACGCTGGGAGCTGTAGTCCTGCGGGACGCCCTCCCGGGGCGGCGCGGCGGCGGCAGGACTCGGTTACCCAGCGTGCCCCATGCGGTATTTAAGGCGCGGCGGCGGGCGCGGAGCGCAGTGACCATGTGGACGCGCAGCTGAGGCGGCGGTGGGCGCAGTCTCCGGGAGCAGGACCGGGAGCGCCGCCGGAATGGGGCTGCCGAGCCGTCTATAGCCCGCCCCGCCGCCTCCACAGCCAGGTACGGCCGGGAGAGAGTGGGCACGGCTGGGCAGGGAGGGAGGCGGTGAGTGGCCACCCGGGCAGCCCCGTCCCGCAGCCCTAGGGATGCAGCCGGGTGCTGGGCGGGGATGCCCAGGGATGCAGCCCGTTGCTAGGCGGGGATACCCGGGAACGCAGCCTGCTGCTGTGCAGGGATGCGTTCCCGTGCTCGGCGGGGGTGCCCGGCCGCCGCAGCCCTCGCAGGACCGGGCAGAGCCCCCCGGTCCTCCCGGCGGGTCCCGCAGCGCTGCCGGACCGGGGTCCCGTCCCCCGCATCCCCGCGGGTTCGCCAGTGGAGCTGCGCGTCCGCTCCAACTTTTCCCGTGTTTTTGCCCCCGTGCTCGGGGCTCAGCTGCGAGGGATGTTTCGCGTTATGTAAACACTCGTGAGCGCCGATGGGGACTTGGCTATGGGTGATCTTCCTCTTAAATGGTCAAAAAGCGGGCAGCTGTGGGTGGATGTTTCGGAGGGTCCCGGTGACTGGCCTGACAGGCCAAATATTTGGCTGTTTCCTGGACTACAATAACTGGACTTCGGCGGGGGAAGGGGTGGGGGCACATGTGCATTCCCCATGCATGTACGTGGGATGTGCCATAATCCCGGGCAGCTTCACGGCTCCATCCCCGAGTCCTGCGGGATGTTTGGAGCCGGCTCTGTCCCGGCTCTGCTCGGGCTCCCTGTGCCTGTTGCTGTCCGGGGCTCCAGGCGTTTTTCCCCGGAGGGAAAATGTTCCGTGCAGCGGGACCAGCTGGGGCTGGCTTTGCTTTTCCCCTCCCTGCCCCAGGTGGGATCGCTCTGGCTCCCAGGAGTTTGTCTGAAAAGACTCCAACAGGTGAAAAGGTTTGAGTTGAATTTATTGCCGTGCAGCGGTTCTGTGCCTGCTCAGCCACGGATGGGTCGGGCTGCGGTCGTGCTGCTCACAGATCAGCAAGGGAGAACGTGGCTAATACAATCCAGATCTTTGCCTGATGAGGATTTAGTGGCCGCAGGTCATGTGGAGAGTAGAGTGTGTGGGAGCCTTTGGTTTTATTTATTAGTGAAGGTCGGTACCTGTGCACGTGTTTTATTTCTTAAAGCGTGTTTAGTTATTTGCCTTTGAGGTTTTCCTGAACTTAGGAATTTGCCTGGTATCTCAGGATTTCCAGACCTGTTGAGCCAGAGCACTGGCTGACTCTCAGCCCAGGCCAGAGGCCCATGGTGGAGCTGTTTTCTTTCCCTTCCTTTCACAGGGCTCAGCTGTGTGAGTGTGGGATGCCATGTGAGGCCAATATCCCTTCCTTTCCCTCAGTGGTTCCCCTGTGGCCAAGTTAATGGGCTACCCGGCACTGGATTTCTCGTTGGTTTCTTTTCTGTGCCTTGATTTACGCCAATTTCCTCACACAGCAGCTATTCCATGGTCGAAGTGCCTGGTGGTTTCGCTGGTGTAAGTGCCTGAAGCAATAACAGCGTTGCAGGGTGTTGTGGCTGGAGCTGAGCTTTGCCTGCCCAGCACTGGCTGTTCAGTGAATGGACGAAGCTGGTGGCATTGCTAAGGCAAAATATTCAGTGTTAACAGGACACCTGGTGAAATAAACGTGGAAACTGACCATTATGGGATGCAGCAGCTTGTATTGAAGCTGTAGTGCTGAGTGTGCCTAAACCAAAACAAGGAATCACTGTGCAAATAAAACCACAGTTCTAGTGTGTTTCAAAACAAGCTGATGCTGAGCTGATTATTTCTAATGTTTTCTTTAAGCCGCCTCTTGTTTGTCAATAGTAGGGGTTTTTCTTGTTAAAATACCTTATTTCCCCAAGATTAGAATGTTTGCTTAGATGAGTGTTTTTTTCCCCATCTGTTTGTTTTGCAGTGTGGATTAAGCCTTCAGAATTGTTTCCTCGTACAGAGTTTCATAAATTAGGAAGTAAACAAACAAGAGTAACTTCGGTTTGCCTTTGCAATCATGGGGTGGAGCTTAGCTCGGGGAAATGGTTTTTATGAGATGTGCTAATCCAACACCATCGTTGGAGGGTGGAGGAGGCCTCAGTGAAGAGCACGGGAAGGGACATTTGGTGTGTTTCTTTGAGGGTTGGTGGACCTGTAGGTGTGGATGAATGGAGCTGTCCTGGCACTGATGAACAGGGTGGGGGGGATGTAAGGGACAGTTGTGATCTCTGGTTATAAATGAGAAGTGTAATTTTGGGAGGAATTCATCGCTGAAAGGGCTGTCAGGCTTTGGAGCCGTCCAAGGAGGTCGTGGAATCCCCATCCTTGGAGGTGTCCAAGGAATACTTGAAGTACTCAGTGCTCTGGGCTGGGGACAAGGTGGGGATTGGGCACAGCTGGGACTCGATGATCCTGGAGGTCTTTTCCATCCTCAGTGGGTCTGTAACATGATCTTATCCACAGCACCATCAATCCTCTCATGTTCCCTCAACAAACCTGTTTTGGTGTGGTGTAGTCTAGAAAGTGCACAAATGGAGTTAAAGGGAAGAAATAATCTCAGGTCCTGGCAGCTCACAAGTGAGGCCATTGCAGCTTAGAGTGAGAGCTGCAAACCACGGTGTCCTGCTGTTGTGTGGTGTAAGGTCCTGCTCTGATTTTGTAGTAACTCCTCTGGTAAAGACAGCACTGAATGTCCCTGACAACACAACAAGCACGAGAACAGGGCACCTGCAGGGCTGGCAGGTTTGGGGTGAATTTTGGGGATCCAGCTCTTCCAGTACTGTGTGTGTGCCAGAGAAAAGGGAATGGTCCCAGGGACTGGTCAAACTGGAGTGGTCCAGAAGTCTGTTCTGGAAGCAAAAGCTGCTTTTGGCTGCTTCTCGTCAGATGAGCTGGTCTCTTCTGGTAAATTGCTGAAATGGACAGCACAGAGGTGGAACTTCTTGTTCAGTGCTGTCAGGCAGGATTAAAACAGATCCCAGAAATCCTGAGCCCTTGCCTGGTACCTGCCCTCGAATTGGAGCCATCAGAAGAGCAGGTGTTGCTTGTTCAGATGAGCTCCTGGAGCAGGTGTAGCTGCCCTTGGCCACCTGGGCTCGTTTGTGCCTAGGTGGGCAAGAGACCAGTGGCACCTGAGCTGTCCCAGCACTGGGGTGCCATCAGGAGCAGGGCAGTGCCTGTCCCTGTACTGGGCTCTGCTGGGGCAGCTCAGTGCAAGAAAAACACTGAGGGGCTGGAGCATGTCCAGAGATGGGAATGGAGCTGGGGAAGGGTCCAGGAGCAGCTGGGGGGGCTCAGCCTGGAGAAAAGGAGGCTCGGGGGGAACTTGTGCCTCTGCACAACTCCCTGACAGGAGGGGACAGCCAGGGGGGGAATTTGGGCTCTGCTCCCAGGGAACAGGGACAGGAGGAGAGGGAGCAGTCTCAGGCTGGGCCAGGAGAAGCTCAGGTTAAATATTAGGAAAAATAACTTTGCTTGAAAGAATAATCAAGCACTGCAATGGGCTGCCCAGGGAAGCTGTAGGGTTCCTGTCCCTGGAGGTGTTCAAAGATTGAGCAGATGTGGCTCTTCCTGATGTGGCTCAGTGGACACAGTGCTGTCAGTTTAACCTGATATCTGAGAGGTCTTTTCCAGCTTCCATGATCCTGTGATCCTGGTTTGACTGTAATGATTCCTCAGTGCACAGCAAACTCCTTTGGAATATCTGATGTGTCAACTTGCAGAATGTACTGGCAGTCTTTGAGACATTATTACCCCATGAATACAAGATAGTCGTAGTTGTAGGATTGTCTTAAAGCCAGGAGCAATCTGAGGCTCCCGTGGGAGGTGGGATGAGGGTAGTGGCTCTGTAGTAGCTGGTAGACGAGCTGCTGGCTCGCCCGTGGGTGAGTGTGAGGGAAGGCGGCCTCACCAAAGCAGCTTAGAGAGACCAAAGGCTTTAGAGGCGGAAAATCATGTGCTGCTAGAAGGTTATGTAAATGTAACATCACAATGAGACCGTGCTGTAAATCCTGATTCCTAAAAGTCTGCATTATTGCCTGTCCCAAATTCGTTTCTTCTGCTAAGATAGCAACAGAAACCGAAGGTGCTTTGGGTGGCCTGGAGCCTTTTTTTGTGCTGTTCGTGTGTGATAATGCACAGGGGGAGTCAAAAGCTGCCCAGTTGCATGCAGTGGCCTGTGCTGGGTGGGGCCAGGTGCTGCTTTACAGACTGGGAGAGCAGGGGACAGTGTCCCTGTGCTGCAGGGGACAGTGTCCCTGTGCTGCAGGGCCGGATGCTGGCTGTGTCCATGGCTGTTCCAAGTGATTCCTGTGCTTTTCCGCCCAGCCTCTCCTGGAGGCTGCTGCAGGAGGCAGGATGCCAAAACTGCACGAGCTTTGATCTGGCTCGATATTCCTGTCTAATTTCTGCTCCCCACGGACACTACAAAAGCATTACAGCAATTATTGCCTCGTTCTGTGTCTTGGCAAGGGTGGGCAGTGGCTGGGGAAGGAGGCAGATCTCCCTTTCCAGGGTGCTGCAACTGCTTCTTAGATTGGCAGAGGCATCCAGAGGCTCCTTGAGGGGCTCTTGCTTGTGCTGTACCTGTTGAGAAAGTGCATTTCCAGGTCTTCAGGGCAGCTGTGGATTATGGGATAAAATTTGCTCAGAGAAGCTGTGGCTGCTTCATCCCTGGAAGTGTCCAAGGCCAGGGTGGGCAGGGCTTGGAGCAGCCTGGGGTAGTGGAAGGGACCCTGCCCATGGCAGAGGGTGCAATGAGATGATCTTTGAGATTCCTTCCAACCCAAACCATTCTGGGATTCTATTCCCTGAAAAAGACGAATATGAAATGGAAACTACAGGAACAGTAATTCCAGCAAGAAAAGCTGCAACATTCATCTGAGGATTCTGAACTCGGAGTTTCATTTTCATGCTTGTGGTTTGGGTTAAGCTTGTCAAAACTTGGATCAGAACTTCCTAGCAGCATTCTATGGTGAATAAAATGTCAGTTGATATCTGAGCAAGTTAACCCTCTGGAGCGAAAAGTGGGTTGGAAATGTGTATGGAAGTCTGTGTTATTTGGGGATTTGTGGCTTGTGGCAAGGTAATTGCATCCTCACGTGCCAGAACGCCAGCATGAAGAGTGCTGCAGGAAGCTGAGGGCTCATATCTCACTGATAATCTTCCTGGAAGTGCCCGAGGCCAGGCTGGACAGGGATTGGAGCAGTGGAAGGTTTGGTCTAGTGGAAGGGAGAGGAGTGAGATGATCTTTCAGGTCCCTTTCAAGCCAAACCAGTCTGTGACTCTCTGATCATTTGGCTGCAGAGGTGATCAAAGGAGGGGGAATAGCTCTGAGAAATGCAAATACCAGATGTTTCTGGGTTAGGATGTTAGGTAATGCCTCTGCTTTTGGAGTAATGTGATGCTGAGCTCTGAGGGAAGAGGCTTGGCTGGCTGAACCCAGTGTCACGATGGATACAGGCAGTTCATCCTCTCCTCACCCTGTACATGATGTCTGTGGTCAGAAGATGATCTCTGAGCATGCACGTGGAACAGATTTCTGATCAAAAATGGTTGTTGCCCAAAGGCTGTACTTTGTTTTTTATTTTATGGAATTGTTTAGTAGTGGTTTGCATGAAACTTTTATAAACATTTCTTTTGTGCCTTGGCCCATCCTATCCACTTCTTCAGAAATTCAGAAATCTGCCAAGAAGTTGTGAAGAAGAAAGCTTTGTTTGCAGTCCAGCTCTGTCCCATCTGCATCCCACTCCAAGGATAAACACATGGCCACAGATGCAGACACCGACCTCAGCTGGCTGATGGTGCTTCATCTGAAGGGTTAATTGAAAACCTCTGATGAAAATAACTCTGCAATCCTTGGCTGCTCCTCTGTTAAGAGTTCAGCAGATTCAGATGCGAATGCTCGTGGGTGGTTCAGCATTTTGAACCTTTGCCTTCTAGAAAATTACAGTTGCGAGGCCAACAGGTACAAGCCAGCCTGGGAACTGGAGCCTTCATCTGTAAAGCAGCCCGGCCCATTTGGGCTTTTGAGCTCAAAGTAGGTCCCCTGGCCACCAGTGGCCCTCCACACGTGCTCATCATGTGCTGGCAGTGGCTCCTCCTCTTGGGCTGAGGTTTTATCCGGGGAGCAGAGCCAGCGCAGGTGTCCGGGAGGGACGAGCGGCGCTCAGGAAGGTCCAGCCTTGGGGACACCAGCAGCCCTCGGTAGCCTGCAGGAGCAGGGGCTGGCCAGAGGGACAGAAGCCTTGGCTTCACTGCCAGAGGGGACCCAAACGTGCTGGGGGGACACCCTGCCAAGCCCAGCCCTGGAGACCGACAGTGGACCCACCATGGAGGAGAGGGAGCCCCCGCCCAGGTGCGGTACCGGAGAGGGGACAGGGGACAGAGGAGGGAGCACTGCAGGGCATGGAGGCTGCTGGGAGCTGCACTGCTGGTTCAGGGACTGTGGGGGGTTGATGTGGGCAGTGGGGTGCAGGAACCAGCCCCTCAGCAGATCCCTGGCCACGCCAAGTGACATTGGGACTGCTCTGTGCCCTCTTCTTCCCTGGCCATCTTTGTTCCTTGGCCAAACTCCAGTTGGTGTAATAAACCCAGCTTGCTCTCTTTCCCCATGACATTGCTTGTCCTGGTCCTTTTGGCGTGTTCCAGCTCTCTCCTGATAGAAATATGCTGGAAAACATTGTGTGCTCATAGGGGCCTCATCCAGAGGCTGACGTCCAGGCTGCCTCCTCCCAGCAGGGCTGCAGCCAGCAAGGATGGACTTCAGGAAGTATCAGCTTCTCTGAGTGCTCCTTACTTTTAATGGGTTTAAGGAGATGCTGTCAGGTCGTGCTTGGTTTGGAACAAAAGATGATCTTTTTCCCTTGACAGTGTGTCTCTAATAGATTTTCTTTTTCCAGCTGTCTGCAGATGCCTGTCAATAGGACCTGTCAGTCGTGTTTCTTACCTCAGTCAGTGGCTGCTGTGCAAAGGGATTGCTGTCAGAGTGTCATCCCCATGCTTTTGACCTGAATTTTCTGTAACTAGCTTGTCTGGTTGCTCTGGGCAAATAATTTCAAGAAAAAAAAAAAGGCAGGTGCCCTTTCTAAGGAGAAAAGGGCATTGTGCACGTTTGCTTTCCTGTACTGAGGTTTTATTGAGGTTCAAGTTACCGAAATGAGTTGCTTTATCTGTTTTCTTAAACTGCTGTTGCACCTATGAAGTAGTAACTTCTGAATAACTTTGTCACCGATACGATAAAAAAAATCTATTTATCTGTGGAGTGGCAAATAGTATGAATAGAACGTAATTAACTCGGCCCTCATCTTGCCGTGTGAATTTCCACTCCTCTTCCTACTTTATTTTTAGAGGAAGGGGAAGTGTGTGCTTGATGAGATGTGCAGTGAGACTGATTCCCCCTCCTGGGAGCAGAGGGGAGTGTGAGCTGGTGGATGGGGATTTGGGAGACCTGGATTCAAATCTGGGCTCTGAGTCTGACCTGCTGCATGTCCTTGAGAAAGTCACAGTGCTGTGCTTCTCCCTCCTTCCCCTGCCTCCATCTTGCCTGCTCAGCCTGGAAATTGGAGGAAAAAAATTCTGCTGCCTTCTAAACGTCGGGAGGAAAAATACTTGGTCTGAGAAAAGTGCATTTCTCCTCCTTAATCTAACGGTTCATCAGCCCATGTGTGGCAGATAGCAACCTCCTGGACATGAAAGGTTGCAGCTGAAGGGAAAACAAGATCCTGTGGTAGATAAATGTACTGCACTGATAGGTGGTTTGGTTGTTTTTTTTTTAATTTTTTTTATTTAACGTGTAATCTGTGAAATGGAACTCCATGTGCATAAAACGAGCAGTGCTGAGCCCTGCCAGCACCCAGAGCTGTCCCTGAGCTGGGTCCCACTGCAGGTGTGTGAGGATCCCAGTGTTCAGGACATGGCCTGCTCCACATCCCAAAAATCCCTTTATTTGCCTTTTTCTGGCGAGTGCAAAGAGCTCCTTTTAGATTTGCTAAGTCAGAAGCTTTGCAGATGACAGAGCTCTGTCCTCAGCCCCAGCACGGTGATTATTCACTGGTGAGCTTTTAAATAAAGCACTTCCTCCCTTCTTTGGCTGTTTTAATGGGATTCTTAGGAATTTTTCTTCGTATCCTCAGGCAGGAAACCTTCCTTTTTTTTTTTTTTTTTTTTTTCTGATATAAGGATGAGAAACATCAGATTTGGGTTCAGATTTTCAAGTTAGCTGCACCTGTGAAAATACAGAATGTTCTGTGGGTGTTATCCAAAAAAAACCCACAAGAAATCTTGATTAGTGTGTGGGGTCAAATGTGCAGCCAAGTAATCTTGTAAAATTTGGATTTAGCAGATTATCTACGCACTGGATTTTCAGTATAATACAGGGTTTGGCTGCATTTAAAAAATGTTAACTTGCTTGGCCTAATTTACCAGTATTAATGACCCGATTCCATTTAATTTGAGCACAGAGTTACCTGGTCTTGGGGGTTCTCAGATCTGTTAATTGCTGGATGATTCTGCTCATGCCATTAAGCAGTTCTTTGTGTTTGCTTCTTTGTTGTCTCTCTACCCTTAAACTCTGGTCTTGTTTCTGTCAAAAACTGAAACAGAATTAAACTTTCACTCTGGAATTTCCTGTCGGCAGTAATGAAGCTGGAGCTCTGAAGTACAGTTTGAGATTCTATTCTTAAACAACCAAGATAGTGAAAAAGACTTTGATAAAGTGCTGCTCCACTTTTGGTACCAGTACATAGAAAATTGCCAGTATTTATTGAATTGAGCACTAAACCACAGTGAAAATCTGAGTGAGACCTGAGTGCATCCTGGGACTGCAGGGCACAGCAAAGAGCTTTTTTTTTGTTTTTTTTGTTTACTCCAAACAAGCATCATTGGAAGCTTCTTAGAAAGACACAGTAATTTGTATCCCAGTTGCTGGGAGTCAAGCAGTCGGCAATAAGACACATTCGGGCTGGTTTATTTTACAAACAGGATTTGCAGTCGCAGGGTAAAGAATTAAAATCCCACACAAAGCAGACGTGTGAGACACGAAATCAGGGAAGCGCTTCGGGTTCTTTGAAAAATCCTTTTCACAAATGCTGGAGAGGAGGGGTGACAGTGCAGGGATGTTGTCACAAACAGTCCCCGTGAGCAGGGACTTCAAACGGGGCCTTGACTCAGCTCTTCAAGGAAAGCAAACTCCCAGCCCTGCTCTTGAAACCTTTTTTCTAACTCAGAATTGGGAGTGAGATGAGTGATGGGACGAATTAGTGTGAAATGTTTACGGAGCAGTTGCATTTCCCACTCTGAGAGTTGGAAAAGGCAGCTGTCTCCTTGAGGTATTCGATATTGAGCAGTCAGTTTGATTTCTCAGTGTTTTCCCTGTTAATCTTGCTTTAACTGCTGCTATGAAATGTGTTTTCATGAGAAAAGGGATTGAATTTCAGGGACTATATTAAGCTTATCCTGGCTTATTCAAGGCCATTAGGCTGAGCTTGTGCCCTAAAATACAACAGAGTCCTGAGAGCTGGTGGGAACTGTTCAGGATCTGCTGAGCTTGGCTTTGGGGACAGACCTCAGAACTGCTTCTGTTCAGTCCTTTTTGCTGCAGGAAAAGCAGCTTGTTTTGAAGATACACACAAGATAATTAGTAGGAAATAATCAGAACTGAACCCCGGAGCTGTGTCACTTTGTGTTGAGTCAGAAGATCAAACTCCTGATGGTGTGGTGCAGATTTGTGCTCACTAGAGCAGGAGGGGAAAGCCCTGAAACTCCTGGGCTAAATAGCAGCTTTTCCTGGATTTAATTTACCTAATGCATCTTCAGATCCAGCCCCATAGAGCAGAGCTGGCAGAAAAACTTGTAGGTCAGTTTCTTGAATTTCGCATGAAATTCATCAGATTTCTGTTTGTTTATTTGTTTTATTCAGTTTCCTAAACAGAAACTTGATTTTGTTTTCCCTTGCAGATAAACTGTACATAAGACATACCTGAACTTTGATATAGACGTGAGGAAACAGTCACCCACATAATTATAAAAATTCAGGCTTTTAGAGCTTAAAAAAAATGTTTCTATCTCAGGAGTTTTTTAATGTCTATAGGCAGATATAGTTAACTTCTCAATGCAGAGTCCACTTTTAGTTCATGTTTCTTTCATAGCAAGTCCTCCTGTATGTTAAAATTAGAACCTTATCTTAGTGGGAAAAGAGCATTATTTTTAAAGTTTAGGTTGCTGCTGTTGACATTGCTGCCACCCGAGTTAAGCTGCTTGGAGAAACCTGATTTCATTTTTGCTGGATAATGCCATGCTTATCAGTGCTTCATCTTCGATTTTTTTTTAAAGTGAGTTTACCTAGAGAGAATCTTGTTTTCCTGCAGTGTTTAAGGGGAAGAGGAGGACAATACTCCCTGGGTAGCACTGCTGTGTTTCAGCACAGGATGAATTTCCTGCAGGACTCCCCTCCTGCAAGGCTGTGAGAGTTCCATTAAAACTGAGATTATTGCACAGAATAGCTGCAAATGTTCTCTTAGGGCCATCCCCTCCTCTAGTATAAATCAGTTGCTCTTGGCACTGGCATATCTAAAACAAATAAATAGTGGGGTAATGGTTGTGTTTGTCCATGGAGCACAATTGCCTTTGGAGCAGCGTGATTGTGCTGTACCCATGAGAGCCGGGTGCTGGGACGTGTGAAAATCCTCCAGTCCTGCACTTGCAGGGAATTCTGATGGTCATCCCTGTCTGTGTCAGTGCCCTGGGGAGGGAAGTGTCCCCTCCAAAGCCAGGGGGACACACATGGATGCTCTGACTGTTCTCAGTCCCTCTGGTCTCCCTGTGCTGTGAACTTGGGATAAATGTGCCAAGGCTGACAGATTTTTATTGCCTCTGCTTCTGGCTTGTCCTGCTGAAGAAAATATTCAGAGATGACCCCCACAGAGGTCTGATTTTGGGAGGATTGGTGTTGGCAGCTGTTGTTGACAGCATCTTTTAGAAGAAGGTTTTCAAACTGGCTACCTGGGAACTTTGCTCTTGAAAACTTTGCGGTTTTACTTTTTGCTTCACATTTCCCAGTTGTCAGAGGTAGAAAATGCTCCATTTGAGGTGGCTGATTTAGTGCTTGGTGCCAATAACCGGAGTGATTTTGTTAGTCCCTTGTGAGGAGACTGTAAAAAGCTTTGCAGCTGAACCAGTGTAGCAATAATTCAGTTTTCTCCAGTGCGGGGAGCTCTGTGGGGTCCCTGATTCCCTTCCCCATCTGCCATTGCAGTGTGTTGTGAGCACTGGCCAGGCTGAGCAGCAGCTTTTGTAGGGAGGAATGTCAGGGGCGCTGATTTTGGCTATTAAAGAATAGATGGAGTGATCATTTTGACTATGGGAAAGCCTGAGGATAAATCAGTATTTTATAATAGAGTCACCCCAGTGGGAATTGGCTCCTTGCTTCCCAAGGTGGTGTGTGTTCTAACATCACACTGCTGGGTGTTAGAACAGCGTTCAGAAATGCAAGAGAAGGGGGAGTGAGGACTTAGGCAGTGATTAATCCTTGCCTAAGCCTTGGCAAGCGAGGTTATTGCAGCCAGATGAGCCCTTTGTAAAGCCTGACCCCAGCAGAGCTGAGCTGTGAGGAGCACAGGACTGCAGGCTGCACCCAAACCCAGCTCTGCAGGGATGGCTTTGCAAGCTCAGCCAGAAATTCTGAGGATAATGTGGTGAAGAGCCCAGCAGTTCAATTCACTGAACTCAACACCCACCTTTCTGTTACCCAGAACTCTGTGATGGTTATGGGTAAAGTTGATAAACATTTTATTTTAAACATAAGATTATTAAAATTATTAAAATGATTTTATTTTTATTTCTTTTTAGTGCAATTGTCAGTAAATTGCAGAAGAGCTTTTTTTTTAGGGGTTTGCACTATCACGATATGTCAGGTACAATATCATGGTTCTTCCTCAGGGAAGAAAATGTAAGAAAATTGAGGCTGTGTCCTGGAAAGTGATGCAGGAGTTTGCTTGTCCACCCCTGAGCCTGGTTTTGGGCAATGGTCTGAGATTTTTTTTTTGCCAAGGAAAAATCTCTAATGAAAGTCAATAATTTTGACCTTCACATTCCTCTGGGAACACCTGTCGTGAACATCTGCCTCTTGTGAGGAAAAAGTAATCCCCCTCACAGCCTGGAAGGGAAACCTGAATGCCATTGTAGGAAGGGTTAATTTGGAAATATTTGTCGTTTGTGTTGGCTTAGACAACTTTTGCTTTGGTCTGTATTAATTCAGGGCTCATTTTGAGGAATGCAGAGTTTTTTGGTCTGAAGTTGGTAGTTTAACATCCAAGTCAGGAAATGGGGAAAGTTGTGTTTCCAGTGCTGCTAATTCAGTCACTCAGCATATTTCTGTATGTTTCGTGGCATGTATCTTAAAATAGGTAGCAGTGTTTTTCTGTCCACTTATCAAGAAAGAATGGGAACAGACTGTGTAACATGCAGTGGCTGAAGGATTTGGCATTTAACTAGCAACCTGGAACCCAAAGGGTTTGGGGTTTTTTTCTGCACCCAGATTTGATTCCAGAGGAGCTGAGATCCCTTTACCTGTGTATCAGCCTGTCCTGTTATCTCTTGGATTTCCTGGATTTGTTTTTTCAGTGTAGCAGTGGCACAGATTTACAGGGCTAGAATGTCTATGGTGTGCTTTGATTTAATAATAATGAAAGTTGTTATTGTTAGTCCCAGCAGCACAGATCCTTTGGGAGTGAGGAGGGAGAGCTGCTTGGAGCTTTTCAGAAGAAAAGTGTAACTGTAGGTTTTTATTGCCCTTTGATAGCAAACATCACCTTTTAGATCTCCATGAACTTGTCCTTGTTGAGCTCCATCCTTGCCTAACGAGCTGATCCTTATGCCTTTGGAAACAAGATAATGTCCAGGGAAAGGGAATATTTACCCTGCACAGTCAGGAATAAGCAGAATTTCCTGCTCTTAGACCATTCAGACCCTCTTTGGGTGTGATGGAGAGAGGGGCTGGAAGTGTTTAGAGTTGTTTTTCCCTCTCCTGTGTTGGCTGGCAGGGCTCACAGCCTGCCAGGAGGAGCAGTTTGGAAGAGCCTCGGTGCTCCTGCTGCTTCAAACCTCAAGCCCAGGAGCTGGTTGGGCCTTTTGAACTCAGTGATCAAAAAGCAGGGCTTGGGAGGATCTCCAGGAAACCAGTAAAGGGGCTTGGAAAAGATGGCTTTGAAAATATGTTCTGTTGGGGTTTTTTATCCAGCCTTATGCTGTCTCTTTGTTGCTGTGACAGATTGAAACTCACTTTTTTTTTTTTTTTTCCTATATTTATTGAAATGACAGGTGGGTCCTGTGTTGTTTGGACTTGGGGCTTTAGAGAAAATAAAGTTCTTAATACAGTGGACTCATTACTGTCTCCTCAGTGTTACATTTAAGCCATCTATTTTAAACCCAGGATTGAAGTAATTCTGATTTCACAGGGATTTGGTTTCCTGATAAAGCATTTGACTTTGAAAAATCTTTGTTTTTACATGCAAAATCTGTTGTCAGGCACGCTGAATGAGTCTTCACCTAATTCTGCTTTTGAGCCTGCTGGTGTCATGTCAAAATTTTGACGTGACCAAAAAATGTTGCCATGAATCAGGTCAATATTTTGAATTTCTCATATGCATCATTCCAGCACAAAGGACAGCCTTTAAAGGATGCTTAAACCTACCTTTAATTCCAGCAAAGAAATGTGATTTAGATACAAATATGCCTTAAACTGGAGCAGTCCCCTCTCTCCCTTTGCCTCTGGCAGGTGGGATGGAATGGGTTGGTACAGCTGCACTGAAATTCAGCATCCTCTGGGATGAATGCCTGCCTGTGAAACAGTCCCACGTGCAATGGGATGCCAGTAGCTGCTTGTTTTTCCCTGGTTTATTTTTCCAAGCAAGCGCTCTGGCATGCTGGGTTTTCTTTGATACCTGAAATTCCACTGCGAGGACTTGTGCTGGTTTTTTTTTTTTTTCAAACAAACCAACAATCAAAAGCAAAAAGGGCCCTGTTGCTGTAACCTCTGGTAGCTGCACCAAGGAATTCTGCCTGATTCATGTTGTGCTTTTATTCTTCTTTCTTCCTTCCAGGGGCAATAAGCCAGAGATGACTGACAAGATGTCGAGCTTCCTTCATATTGGAGATATTTGTTCTCTCTATGCAGAGGGCTCAACAAATGGATTTATTAGCACTTTGGGGTAAGAACAGCTGTTCTTTTGTATTAAAAAACACCATAAGAAGGACTAGCAGAGCTCAGCTTTCCTGAGCCTGATCCCAGGGAATACTGGTTAAAGCAAGGGAGCTTGATGGATAGATTTGGCCCTAAATGTAAAAATGGCCTAAAGTGAATATGACAAGGTTTTGGGAGGCTGGAGAGTGTATCAATGGCTGTGGTGCAGTTTTATGTCCTTGGTGGGGAGGAAGAACCTTGTCAGGTGAAGGGGTAGAGGGGGAATGAATGCAATCCAATGATTTTCATGTTGTTGTCTGTCCCGTGTCCATCCGTGTGTCCCGTCCTGTCCCTCCCTGCCCCTTCCCCCAGTCAGGGATGAACAGACCCCAGTGCACTCTGACTGCACTAAGGATGTAAAATAGGCAATGCAAGTAGTTTAAAAAATATCTATGTTTTAAAAAAAAATCAAATCCCCGAGCCAAGTGGTTGAAATACCAGTAACTCACCACTACAGCTAGTTTGGTCTTGAAATTGAGGTTTAATTGGAGGTTTCTCCTACAAACAAAATTGTTTTCCTGCTATCAAAGGAGCACAGGTTTTTGACCCTTGTGCTTTGCCAGAGCTCTGGAGCTGCAGTGGGAGCTGTGTTGTGCCAGCTCCTGCCCCACAGAGCCCCTTTGTGCTGCCTTCCACAAGGACACGGAGCAGGTGCTCTGCAGCACGGAGCACCCAATGCTACTCCATTAACCAAAAAAGTAGTTTTAAACGTGGGAGAGGGGCGAGCTGGCAGAGCAGAGCCATGGAATTGGAACACAGCTCTGAGGAGGGCCAGGCAATGTTTGATCCTGCTGAGGAGGAGCCTCTGCGAGCATCAGGAGCTGGGTGCTGCCTGGGGAGGAGCCCTGGCAGGGTGAGAAGCTCCAGGAGCACCTCTGGCCCCTGTTCCCACAGGTGGGAGCAGCGTGTGGCACACGGGGGTGTGCCCAGCCAGGGGCACACACACAACCTGCTCTTTCTCATTTCCAGTAGCCCTAAGGGCCTCAGGGTGGGTACAGTCACAGCACATTTTTTGATGCCTACAGTCCAGATGCATCTGATAAACGGAGCTCCCAAGCAGGGTACAGAGACAGCATCCTGGTAAGTGCCTCGGCAGGAAACAATGGGCTGGAATCTCACCTGAGTGACTCCAAACTAACTTGTAGGTTTAGTCCTCTAGCTATTAGGATTCTGGAAAATAAGGGGGCAGAGAAGGAAGCAGACACTGAAGATGCACCATGATCTATTATAGGAAAGAGAAGAAAATATGGGATGCTGCCAGAAAGGAAAGAAGGTATGATAAAAGCAGGGGATGTAGTAAGTAGGGTTGGTCGAATAGTATTTGGCAAATGTATTTGACACATTTCCCAGGTCCTCGTCAAATATGACACGTGCACTCTGCAGTCCTGGATCAGCTGTGTAACGGGCCAAATACTATCTGCTGAACACTGGCAACGTGAATTATCCTCTACATCTGCCTATTGTTTCTCTTCCCAGCCCTGAAGCGAGTTTGGCAGTCAATAATTCCAGACCAAGTAGAAAGTTGTTCTGCCATGTGGAATCCCACGCGGTGCATGATGATCAGTATGCAGTGGCTGTGGCTTCTGATGGCATTGCTGAGCAGATATTTTTTTCACCATGGGTAGTCCTTTTGGACATGACAGGCCCCAAGCACGTGTATTTCTTAGGCTTGATGAGATGTTTTCATGGCAGGCCTAAAAACCCCCTCAGTGTTCAAGTTGGTTAGTGCTGTTTTAAGGTAACTGCATTATATAATGGCCACATATCTCTGAGCCTGATTGAAGCCAGAAATCCCAATTGCTACGTGAAACATGAAATGCATTATCATCTTAATAAGCCTTCGTAATCAAATTAGTTTTGTCCCATATTTAATTTAGTCTTTGTCCTGGAGAAAATGAAAGCAGCAAAGGCAAGATTTGGTGTAATTGTCCTCCAGCCCATGTGGAGTTTTGACAGTCTGATGTCATAACGATGTGTAATGACTTGTTATGTGGTTACTGAAGGTTGAGCAGCAGATACCACTCTACATTCTAATGCTGTCCTAAATCTCTGAAGAGTGTTCCTACTTAATATTCCTATGACATGTTGCTTAATCAGAGCTTTACTCTTGCTGTTTCCCAAACTCAGTGCTGTCATCTTGATGATTACTGGTGTACAATATATCCTCTTCCGTGTTTCTCACCCTGTCAAATTTTCCTCTTACTGCTTTGGGAAGTTCCTCTTTACTTTCAACTTAATCTCAGATGAGAGGGATATGTTGCACTGAGATGATCTGTATGGGATGATCAGAGTAACCTATTTCCTTGATACTTTTGGCCTTTTGTTCACCACAGGCAGGTGCTTCAGCTCAAATGTTAATACCATTCACATTGGAGCACCTATATATATATATCTCTGTAGTACTGAGTAGGGAGAAAATCCATGGGGAAAAAGCAATTTACTCTGAATGTTTGCATATGCAAATTTTAGATGCATAACACTGTTGAGCCCTCTTAGTTTCTCTGATCTCTTAATTTTCATGCACTTCCTTATTTTCCCTAATTGTTGTCTCAAGATGCTCCCTGCATGTGAACCAGCCTCTGCAAGGAACAACTCTCATATTCTAGGTCTCAGTCTTTCTCAAGTTGATTCTGCATGAGAATGGACCTCTCAAGCCTTTGACCTTGGAGTTTGACTTTCTACGTTTGTGTAGAAAGCCTCTTTGACAGATTGGTTGTAAGGGGCCAAATTGAGTCATTTAGGATCAAATCAAACCCCCAAGTGTTTGGGTACAGGGGCAATTTTCCAGTTTGGAATCAGTGTTTGGGAAAAGCCCAATTCCACCTGGATCCAAAGCTGCTCTGGCAGAGCAATGGGAGCAGCTGCTTCTTAACAATTCTCTTTATTCTGTGGGATTTCAGCTGACCCTGTGGGGGTGGTTCAGGGACAGACAGCTCTGTCCTGGCATTCCCCCTGGCAATCTTTGCTTGTCCAGCTCCCCCCCTTCCTGGCAGAACAGGAGGAGGTTGGCTCAGTCCCTCAGCTCACCTTGTGTTTGGCTGGTGAGCAGGAGGGTCCATTTGTGCCTTCCTTTCTCTCAGGAGTCAATTTTATTGTGGCAGTGACTGTTCCTGCCATTTCTTAATACCTGAGGGGTCACAGGGTCAGTGTCCAGTTTGCATAGCTGTCATATTTCCCTGTTCTCTATTAATATAAATACATTTGCAGCATGACTCAAATCTGTCCAAGAGGCAGGAACTGTCCTGAGGCTGTCTGTCACCTCCCTAGAATATGGGCTGTTCTGTCTGCACCTCGAGCAGGGGACATAAAGATGATGCAGAACACAGGAGCAATGACTTTTATTTATTGTCCCACCTACCAGGAGCATAGCTCTGGGCAACAGTAAAAATTAGCTGCATGCTTCTTAGAAAGATCTGGCATAAGTTGGCATTTGGGGAATGTCTTCTGCTGAAGTGGCCACTCGGATGAAATATTGCAAGTGAACGACTTTGGTTTTGTTGAGGAGGATGGAAGGGGCTGCAGGGGGATGGATTCTCACTTCACTGCTCATTTCTTTGCAGCCTTGTGGATGATCGGTGTGTTGTACAGCCAGAAGCAGGTGATCTTAACAACCCACCCAAAAAATTCAGAGGTAAGTTGGCCAGACAGCTCCTTACCCTCCTGCTTAGAAATGATTCTTGGTTTTGTGCAGTGATGTGGAACAATTCTGCCCTCTGTGCCTTCTGTAGCATATTTTAGTGTCATCTTCTTCCTTGAGTGACAGCTCATGAGGAAAAACGTGTGTGTTGAATGGCTGTGGGACTGTGGTGGTTTAACCTGAGTCATCCCCACCCAGTGGGATGGGGGAGAGAGAGTTGGGAGAGGAAGAGTGTTCAGATAAATCACTTTAGTAGAGAAAGGAAAAGCTTCCCACACCAGCAAAGCAAAACAATGACTTGATTCCCCATTTGCCATGGGCAGGCAGGTGTTGGTCCAGCACCAATCTCCACAGGCGCTCCCAGCTCTGTGTCCCCATGGTCTGGGATATCCCTGGAGTTGGCTGTGCCCCCCAGCTCCTGAGATGTGCTCAGCAGTAACTGCAACATCCCTGTGTTACCAACAGCTGCCAGCACAAATCCAAAGTGTGGCTCTGCCAGCTGCTGCAAAGAAAATGAACTCTGTCCCAGCCAAAGCCAGCAATGAAGAAAGCTGCCTGAGGGATTGGGGTTCAGCTTGTTTGTTCAGTTGTTTGCTTTTCAGATCTCTCCAAACTTTCAGGATCTCTGGGAACTTCATTTCTTTTCCTCCATTATATCACATATTCTTTCTAATTACCCAATACCAAACCTCAGGGAGTGGGAAAATAAGAAGGAGCAAGTGTTTGCCACCACTATTGTTGTCTGACCTAATTTGATATGAGCTACCTTGGGCTTTGCTTTCCTTCTGCCAGGAAATTTTTGCTCAGTGATAAGAAATTAGTGCTCTGCTTTGCACAGTTGGGCAAGGGCTGACTCAAGAAAGGCCTCAGACAGGAAGAGAAGCACTAACTGGGATTTTGTTTGCATAGACCTTGAATTCTTTTTCTCACCCCTGGGTTGCATCTTTTACCCAGAGGATAATTCAGCCAAATATTCTACAATTTTGGTCTGGATTTTATTGTTTCAGATGTAGCAGCAACCGTGTCTCTCGATTTTTTGGATGAATCTTATTTCCTTGGTTGTGCTTTGCCTTCATCGGGGCCTCAGCATCACCATAGTTTTATTCAGGTTTGGCCAGAGCTGCAAATGATTGCCTTGAAAATCATGTACAATCTGTACTGCTGGTTTTGCTTGCTGTTTCTTAGGTGGTTTGGTTGTTTGTTTTTTTAGCATGACATGATGTTGATAATGAAACTCTCCTTTTAAAATATTGCTGAAGTCTGTGAGTTCTTGCTGGTTTTTTCTCCCTTTTTTTCCTGGAAAACTGAAGAGCTGATAATTGAAACACTAAAGAGGCAACCTGGGGAAGTTTCAGCATTCAGTGGTAAGCTCTCCAAGAAAGAACAATGTTGTTATGTGGAGCAGAGCCTTGACTTGAGGCATTCTTGATGTTAAAATCGTGTGGAAGAATAAAACCAGATTTGACTGAGACTGCTGGGTGCAGAAGGAGGCGGAGGGAGAGACAGGGAGAGAGAAAAGAATGAGAAAAAGGCAATTCTTGCTTGCACAGTTTAGGAACTGCAAGTACAGAGAGACATTTGTCTGACATAAAACACCGTGGTTAGACATTGTAAATGTTCTCATATTACTTATAATTTATACAGGGAGAGAAAGAATGGTGTGAACCTTTTCCAACCTTTGTAGTTACTTCAGTGAAGCTTTCATGGGGAAGTTTATGCTTAATGGTAAATGGCAACAAAAGTCATAAAATTTTAGCAGGCTTTTCTCTTATTTATACACATACTTTGTAAGTGTAGTCTGAGATAAAATGCTTTTTGTGATAAATATGTTCAGAAGAAGTAATAGTGGAGTTTATCACCCCATCTTCACCAGAAAGGGAAAATATTCCATTTTTATGCAGAAGCTGTGTGGGGTTTGGAGCAGTCTGGGATAGGGGGAGGTGTCCCATGGCAGGGGGTGGAATGGGATGAGGTTTGAGGTTTTTTTCCAACCCAAACCATCCTGTGAATCATGTTGGTCACCACAGCAGCTGCAGGCCTGAGGAGTGGGGTCAGGCATTGGTAATTATGAAGGGATGTTCCAAAATCGTCTTGGAGCAAGAAGAAAATTAATCAAATGGAAGTGACTGGCATAATACCCTCACAGAGGACTGGAAAAATACTTCTGTGTGACCTGTTTCATGTCCCTGTGCTCCTGGGTGTCCCCATGCAGGTCAGTTCCCTCTGAAGTCCCCTCCTGGGAGGGACACTGAGCCTGTCACCTTTGGCCAGGCTTGGCAATCTTCTTTTTGGTATCATTTTTTTTTTTGAGAGGTGTCGTTCTGAGCTGCTTACAGCAGATCTGTCTTCTGTGGGCAGATGCAAAACAGTTGTAAATACAAATTTCATGCTTAATCAACGTGAGGAGAGATCTCTAGAAGCAAGATTGGCTGCTTAGATATGCACAGATGACTCCAAGAAAATTGAGTGTGAAGCTCAAGCCTGTCTATCCAGTGGCAGAATGAATCCATCCTGCTTTTCTCCCTAACCACAGGTGCTTCAGGTTGTAAAAAGTCGTGTTGCCAAGGCTACATTTAATCACTTGGATCTAGTGACAGCAGCAAGACCCTGGTGTGGAGGGTGGGGGATTTTCTTTCTGCTTCAGACCCTTGAAATGGAGCAGAGCTGCTGTGCACAAAGTGGGGGCTGTGTGCCCTGTGCCTGGAGAGAGGGATTGGGCAGCAGTGCTTAAATGTGAGTGCTTAAAAGTGCTTTAATTGTGAGTGTTTTGTGTCACTAAACTCTGGTAACCTGCTCGTGGTGTGAAACAGCCCTGCCCGAGGAATGTGTGCCTGAAAACAGCCCCTTCCCTCCTAAAACAGGCTCTGTGTGCTGGGAAATCACTGCTGGGACAAGGATTGGCTTTGTGGCAGAGAGGAATTGGGGATGTGCTTGGTGGGACAGGAGGATGTGCAGCAGCAGGGCTGCAGCTGGGAGGGAACAGGACACAGGGATCCTGGGGACACCAGGACTGCCTTTGGTGACAAAAGTTGTGGGAAAAGTTGGCTGACAGATGGAGCTGGTGGTGGGGGAGCCCTGCAAAGGGTGAGGTGTCAGAGGGGGCGGTGCACGGAGTAAAAGTGTAAATGAGATGGTTAAAAAAAAAAAAAAATTGGAGCGTTATTAGATTGGAAAAAAGAGAAGTGCTGGAGTTGGAAGGAACTCCAGAGGAAGTTTGTGCAGCACATTCAAGTTCCTGTGAGTGTTTACCTGCAGTTTTTTCACATGTTAAATGCTGTGGTGATTCTAGGTCATTAAAATATTCATTTCATTGAAGGTGTGAAGGATGATTCTTTTTCTTTTTCCATCCCAAGCAGAATCACTTAGCACCTGAGGTCAGTGGTTTGAGGTTGGATGGTAATTATAGTCTAAGATTTCAGTGGATTTTTTTTTTTTATTCTGGCTTTCTGTGTCCACTTTAAACGCAGTGGTTTGGGTGTGTTTGGTTTTGTTTTTTTTTTCAAGTACAGCATTTCTGTGGCCCTTCATGCCTCCAGCTCCAAACAATTCAAAAGTTCTTTAAAACTGCTTTTTCAAAATGTGAAGACTGAAGAATACAGTCATTAGGGTGTTTCTTTTTAAGAATGTTAATATGCAAAAGAGGGAATTTTTTTTTTTTCTTAACTGTTGTAAATGTACTGTGTACAGATGAGGTTCCTGGAAGAAATTGTACTTGTACGAATGTCCAAAAAAAGAAAAAATGTGACATTCCCTTAGTTATCTGCACTTCTTTAAACAGAAGAGACGTTTAATGTTTTTATTAAGCTCTAATTGCCATCTTTGAGTGTGACTGTACAGCTCAAGAGTGGCTATAAATGAATTTCCCTGTAACGTACATGGATTAATGTGGGAAGTGTGAACTGGAGCTGACCCTCAGCTGGGCTAAAGCCCCGTGTTTGACTGGAAATCATTCCTGCTGGAATACACACACACACACACACACACATCTCTGCTCTGCAAATGAAAAGCAGAGGTGCTGAGGTGCTGCAGCAGAGCCCGGGGCTGGTGATTTTTTTATTTTTTATTTTTTTTTTTTTTGTGCTGTGGCTGTGAGCTGGACTTGCAGAAGTTTATTTGTGTTCATTTGTACTGGAGCGCAGCCCTGCACGAAGCCAAATGTGTTTGTTTAATGCAAGACACTGCTACTACAGCAAAACAGTCTGTCTGACAGGCTTCTCAGGAAATTCCTTACAGCTCTTTATTTGGGATGCAGAGCTGCCTGCCAGGCTTTCCAGCAGCTCTGCAAGAGATGCTTGGAGCTCTGGCAAAAAGGGCACTCACTGGGTTAACTTGTCCAGCAGCTCCCTCCTTCCAGAACATTGTTTTAGTAGTTGCTGGGCAACACTCTTTTTTTGGCAAGATGTTCAAGGAATGAACCCATATCTTAGACTTAAAATACCCTCATGGCAAAGCAGAAGAGGAGTAGTTCAAATTCTGTTTGTTCTTTTGATCCTAATCCACTGTGTGCTGCTGTGGCTGGTGCCTGTGCAGGTGTTGGGGGCCAGCCCTGGGGGGCTCAGCCTTGGAGCTGCAGCTGCATCTGCAGCAGCAGGAACTCCCCAGGCAGCTTTAATTTATCATGAGATGGGTAGAAAAGCTGTATTTGGTATGAATCATGGAGTGGCTTGGGTTGGGAATGGCTTTTATTTCATCCAGTGCCACCCCTGCCATGGCAGGGACACCTCCAGTGTCCCAAATCCCAATGTCCAACCCGACCTTGGGCACTGCCAGGGATCCAGGGGCAGCCACAGCTGCTCTGGGCACCCTCTGCCAGCCCTGCCCACCCTGCCAGGGAACAATTTCTGCCCAAAATCCACAGTTTTGATGGATCTTCCCGAGTTATCCCTGTGCTCAGCACTGATGAAGTCAATGTGCTTCTCCCTGGCAGAAATGTTTTATATTTTATCCTTCATAGCTTTGCCATCACTGACCTGAAGCCTCCCCACTCCTGCGTT